GGGGTGCTTGCATCGAATCTTTGTCACATGGGCGGTTGTCAAATTTCAGAGTCCCTTTTTGGGTCCTTAATATAATACAGCAGCTATTGTTTAGGATACTCCAAAAGGGACCCTAATTTTGACAACCACCGAAGAGGAACCCTAATTTTGACAACCACCGAAATGGGAGCCTTATCAAGAACAAGCTTTTCAGGTATTTTATGCTGGGATGGCTGTAAGGGGACACTTTTACTTATTACTCATCATTTGACCCCTTATACTAGAAGGTTCTACAGGGTTTTACAACAATCAGATTTCAGCAATTGAATGAAGCTTTTGGGGACTGTTTCTCTGTCTCTCTCTCCCTCTCTCTTTCTCTGTCTCCCTCGCTGTCTGTCTCTCTCATTCTTTCGCCAGGGTTATGATGCAGGGGCTTTACCCCCCTGTCTCTCTCTCTCTTTCTAGGTCTCTGTCACTGTCTGTCCGTCTCCGTCCCCGGCTAGCTCCCTCTCTCTCTCTCTCTCTCTCTCTTTCTCTCTCGCTCCGCTTCTCACAGTCCAGGGCACACGTGACAAATTGCATCTGCTGATACACTGACCGAGGTTCTGCAGCGAAACCTGGCAACCAGAGCTTCCATCGCCACATCGCTGCTGCGCAGGAACATTGCCGGCGCGAGGCAGTTCTCTGTCTGGTTTGGGTTCGGGTCTTACAAGTCTTACAAGCTTTCCTAGTGAAGGGATATGCTAAGCTCCGATGTGTTCCAAAAAGTATTTTTTGAAGGCGGTTTTCCAAGTAAAAATACATTACAAATGTGGAAGGCATGGTATCGAGTTGGACAAGCTTTGTGGGGGTTGAGCGGATGGACCTGAAGGGTTGGAGGCGCAGGGGCTGAGGGAGCATCGTCCTGGGTCTTTTTGACTGTCTGCTGGGGCTCCGATTTCTTCAGGCTCAGAAGTCTTGCAGATTCGGCGCTTAGAAGGTTGTGGCGATGTAAGGCTTTCAAGGCTTGGAGCTTGCGGGCTCTAGGGCGGACTCTGGAGGCTTGCATGGAGCCGATGGTACGCAGGTCAGATTGTGGACAACTAGTGAACATGTAACGACAGGCGTATAGGACGATTTTTCCCCAATCGTCAGATCCCCCTATGGAAGTCCAGGGATCGAGGACTTTCGGCTGGAGTTGAAGGTAGGGGCTTGGGATATTGAGACTCAGCTCAAGACTTGGGGTCAAGGGTCGAGGGGAACTGAAAGGATCCACCTGCTGAAACCAATACCGCGACCTTTACAGCTAGAAAAGATAGCAGGACATACAACGTTACTCATCAATTCAGAGCTGAGCTTCCGTTTTGTACACCCGGACACATGCTGTGCTAAGATCTGCAGCAAGATCCTGCAGAATTAAATTAAGGCTTAGGGCTTCGGGTGGGCTAAAGCAGCCTATGCCCTGGTGATGAGCAGCTAAAGCTGGAAGACTATGGATTCATTGGGGCCACCTTACGACTGGCGTTCAAGGGCTTGGTGTGTGAAGACGGGCTCTAGCTGGATTTCGAAGGTCTAGAGCTTAGGGGTTGAGGAGTTTAGGGTTCAGAACGGAAGTGAATAGTTTTCAGTTTAGGAACCTGCAACCTGCACCAAGGACCAACGATTTCCTAACTCCAAGTAAGACTTGGGAAGTCTTTTTTCCACCATTCATTCCTGAGCTCGCGGAACTTGTTCCTGCTCCATGCACCCGAAGGCGATAGCTGCTCATGACTTACCTGACTAAGCCAGAAAAACTCTAAGTTAAGTCGTAAACCCCCTATGCCTTGCACCAGCTTAGGCTGGGCTCTAGAACCTTGAAACCCACAACCTCACCCCCCCAACAACTCTTACCCAAACCCTACAGGACCCAAAACCTTCATCATCCTCATGGTATCCGGCCGACGACTGTAACGAACGTCGTCTGGCAAATTCGCCGGGCTCCTGGATGCACAGTGGTTCTAGGGTACTCGGCTCTTTCTTGGCTTCCTTTTTTTAATCTGTGTGTATATAGGTATATATACACATACATAATATATATATATATATATATATATATATATATATACACACACACACACATTACTATGTATATGTATGTGTTCATGTAGACACACATGCATACACACATGTATGTGTGTATCTATCAAAGGGCTATCCACAGTGAGTTATTGGTTGGCTGGCATGAAAGTTTCAAGTTCAAAAAGCCGACACGTGCAGGGTTGGCAGCACGGGATGCAAAACAACAGCTTTGCATCTGGGGTGGCCACCGCAGGACAGCCGTTTTTCTATTTTAATGATGAATCTGTCCGAAGGCATTTCTATTCTTCAGTTTGCACTTTTATTTAATTGAGCATCCACAAACATCGGCCACAATTCCTCGTCTTGCTTGCATCCCAGGCTGAGAACCCTGAACATCGGCCACAGTCCCTCAGCATTTTGCATCGCGGGCCTTCCACCCCAAACTTTTGCCATAGTCCTTCAGTTTGTTTCGTATCTCGGGCCAACAACCCTGCATGTCGGCGTACCTCATCTCGCCATGACCTACCGTTGTGTAGCATGTACGCTATACCGTATTTCAGGGGTCACAAGGTCTAGGGTTGGGGTCCCTAAACCCTGAACCTTTTAGGTTTGCAGGGCTTTAGGCTTAAACGCTTCGGGTTTGGAGCGTGAGGCAGCGCGCAACTAGATGTCGATGCTAAGAAGGTGCGGCTTGGTTTGGGGTGCATCGTTTCAGGTTTTCGTAAGTAAGTACACGATGTGGGCATCAGGGCATTGGGGTCCACGGTTTTAAAAGGTTTGCACGGTAGTACTGTCAGCTTGACTATCCAAGCCACTCTCCTCATGATCGCTATCAAAATCATGTGCAGTGACCTAAGCCTTATCAACGTTGAGTTACAATCATCATGGTCTTGGCCATGACAGGCCAATGATGTGGCATCATCATCACCATCACCACCATCGTCACCACCACCACCACCACCATCATCGTCATCATCATCATCATCATCATCATTGTCATCATCAACGGCAGCATCATCATCATCGTCATCATGTTTTGCACAATCAGGAATATCACGCACTTAAGCAGACAAGTCGGGGCTCAGAAGTTGGAACTTAGGCGCTCGCTTCGCCGAGAATTCAGATGCTCCTGCCAGCCAGCCACCGGTATATAGTTGCGTGGCCAAGCTTTTGTAGCTGATGTTCCGATGCCTGAGCCAGCAACACAGAATTGCTGCCATCGTTGCTAACATCATTCGTAATGAAATACTCCTATTGGTAACTACATCCGTTATCGATTTCAGAAGCCAGGACTGCTTCGGATCTTGCACCGTGCTGACAGCAACAGACATGTTTGGATCGGTTGCGGTATGCAAAAGGAAAGGTTTGGTTCGGGCCCTAGCACCATAGTCAGTGCAACGTGTTGTCGAGACCATTCTGAAACTATGAGAATTAGACTTTCGAGTAGACTAATGTAGTGTTAGAGAAAGACTGGTAGGGAAGAACGGTTCCGAATTCTTCAGACCCCGGTACTAACCTCTCAGGTTGCGGAGGTGAAGCTTGCAAGAATCTGGGAGAGAACTTGCAAAGGTAAGGTGTGGAGGTTAGGGTTTTACAAGGGTTGCTAGACGGCTTATTCTAATGATGTAGTAGCTTCCAACGATGGTGTCTACACTGAATTTTAAGGGAGTATACTTCTACATGCCGCCCAAAGACCGACGGCTGGCGGTTGAGGGTTAAAGTCAACGGTTAAGGCCTAGTCAAACTTGAGGCTTTGAAAGTGCCGAAGGGAAAGTCGGACATCATAAGAGCTTCTGTAAGGGTTGCTACTATGCATGAGGGTTTCTCTCCGGGATTTAGGGTCCAAGTGCCCGAATAGTAGTGTTTTACATGCCAAAAACTCAGAGGACAGTGTTCCGGATCTAAAGCCTCGGACCCTCTAGGAAAGTGAAAGGGCCACGTGAATGGATTCCACAAGGCAGGCTCTGACGGTCTAGAGACAGGTTTAGGGTTAGGCAACCACTCGTGAGGAGCGACTGGCGGCCCAGGCTGCAGGCGGCACAGGTTGGCACTTTTACAACAGTACACGTCGACTCTGTGCCGCGGTGCCTGTGTGACCGGCTGCACCCGTCTCGCGCACACCTTGTCTGGACTTGCCCTGCCTTGGCAAAGGAGCGGGCACAGCTCCCTGCACGTGTGGACCGCGCAGAAGACCGACTGTTTGCAAGACCCCTCCGCTAGTTTCTTTCGGCCCCAGCTGGCGAGACGACGTCCCAACAAGCGGCTTTGCTCGCCTTCTTCTTTGCTGAAGCGGTGGAGGCCGGCGCTCCGTCCCTGACTCTTGCGACTGACGGCAGTAGTCAGGAGAACGTGGGTGCCTGTGCCGTGGCATGCGATGGCCCTCCTTTGCGGCTCTGGCTCAGATGCTAGCTTTGGGGTTTAGGCTTCAAGGTCTCGGTAGCAGATTGGGTTTCAGGTTGCTGAAAGTCTGAAATGCTTCTGCAAAGGAACAATAGCTGGGAGCAGCACCGAACTACAAGGCGAACGTGAAGTCGTCGTCCAGCTCTTACACGTCTCATTTCGGCCTTGGTATGTGGTCGCGAGCCGTAGAGCTGGTGGCATGCGCACTCCTGTAACGACAAAAACCCGGAACACCCGATGGGCTTCACAATGCAGTTGTGCGTTCATACGCCAAGCTGTCCTTTCTGCAGGTTCAATGCGGCAGCGACAGGACAATGTCACGTTGTCGACAGCTTGAGAGATTGGGCAGTCAGGCATTCAGCCCCATTGCAAAACTGCTTATTGCACGGCACTGTGTGTGTCGGCAGCAGCCCCGAGCTACGCCGATCTTAGATTGAAGGGAATCTTTTGTTGGTTAACAGGACGAAGAGCTTCCTGCCACTACACATGCCAGTGCAGCAGAAATCGTGGTAGTTTACAAGCTAACAACATTGAGCTTCAGGACCTGCTGATGAGCCCAATGAGGTTTCATATCACGGTCTCCTTCACCATCTTCTCTTGCCCTTGCCCTTGCTCTCCTCTTTGGCCTTGCCCTTCTCCTTGCTTTTGCCCTTGAAGGAAGCACCCTTGCCTTTGGAGGCTTCAGCTGGATCCTTCTCAGTGCCTTTGCGAGATGATGTCGCAACCGGGTCGATGGCATGAAGAGCGGCAGTGGGTACCTCAGAGTCTGCATGGCGCAAAACTTGTGAAAGCTTAAGGAAGTCGCTCTCCGATGCTGTCTCTTGTAAAGATCGGCGCAACTCCTGTAGAAGTCCCGGCAAGAGTCCAGACATGGTGAGTGCTCCGCACAAGGCACTCTCCAGCTGAAGGAATAGCTCTTTCAATTCAGCCTCTCCGAGGCCTCCTTCTCTCACCCAGTACTTGGCATCGGTGGACCCTTTGGGATGGAGGGCTGCCAGCCACAGCTTTGCACAGCCAACTATGCACGAATAAGAGCAGGGATCCAAAGCATCTCGGACCTCCAACTCAACATGATTTAGCATCTGCATGCGACTCATGCGGCGCTCCACCCACGTCAAGCGCGTCCAGAAGAAGCGGTATGGAAGGATGCCACCACGAAGGAGCCGAACGCATCCCTTCACATCCAGAGATGCCTTCAACAAAGCAGGGACGTGCCTGTCTTCATCGGTCAAAATCGAGGCCGGCAAAGGATCAAGCCGCCAAAGTGGACATGATGGTCTTCTGACTATCACCTCGCAAAGGTTCTTCACCTTTTCTGCAAGCTCCCGCTTTGCCTGAACTGTCTCGGGCTCGCAGCTTTTGCTTCCTTCTTCTGCGCCTGCAGAAATGCACTGGAAAATGTAAAGCCTCTCCCACTGTGGTCGCACCTCATCCCTGTCCACAAGTTCTGTAACGACAGTGACTAGACTTGTGGCAGCTGCTGGATGTGCAAACTTGCATTTGAAGAAACTCAAGCTGCTCGCATGCAGCCACAGCTCGAAAAATGACTTCATTGCCGCCGTATCATTGCCCTCCACGGACATCTTCCAGAGCAGCAGTAGCACTTTCTCGTCAGTGCAACTTTTAAGCTCCTTCAGCTCTTGCAGCGCTTGGTGCGACAGAGCGACGAGGTCACTCCAAGATGTAGTTGCGGATGTCAACGTGTACTGTTTGCGCACAATCTCCTTGCCATCAGTTTCACGGGCCAAGCTTGCAATCAATACGCCCTCCTGCGCAAGGTCGCCATCTAGCTGCACATCTGACGACTCTATGCCATACTCCTGCTGCAGGAGGCAAAGCGTTGGCACCTGGTTCAATTGCTACAGCATTCGAAACTCACAGAATGGTAGCGACAGCTCGGAATGACACACTCAACGACTCTCTCACACGCACCTTGAATCTGCCCTCGCTTACCCGCTGAATTACTAGTGCAGGCATTCCTCACGGTTTTGCTGCCAGAAGCACTTAATGTATAGCAGCCTCACGCCATGAGCCTTCTGAGCTCTACGTGATTGAAAAAGTCAGTACAACGAGTTCTGAAACGACAGGTCTCGAGCAAGCACCTCCCAGACACAGCGTGTTGATCTTGGGGGAGGGGCTGATAGCCCAGCGTGCCGAAGCAAACATTCTGGGGACTCCAAGCGGCCTTCCTGGAAAAGATTTATGCTCTTGCGGTGGATGCCATTTCAATAACTCACCCGCTCATTGCGCGCTGGCGGATGATCACATGTCTGAAATCCGACTCCTCACGAGACGATGGCAGTGCTAATCCCGCGCCCTTGTTGGGCGATGGCTGTGGTTCGCATTTCTCAAAACGGTCCCCTGATTAGGCGATGGCGGTGTCTTAAACCCGACCCTTATAAGGCGATGCCACTTGATCACCTTTCCGAGGGCGACGGCGATTGCTCACATGCCTTAACCCCACATTTGTCTTCAGAGGCTGGCAAGCGCTCACGTTTCTTCAACCCTCCTTCGTTTGGTCCGTCCTTCCGTCCTTCCTTCCCTCCCGCCAAGCTCCCACCAACCAAGGAGGGCACACGATGTAAAAAATTACAACAAACTTGTTGGCGTTTCCTGCTCATACCGTTGGTTTATGTTTGTACCTGTTCATCTTTTGGTTATTTTGTTGCAGTGTGACTACTGTTTCGGTCGCTTGGCTTCCTCGTCTTACCCTTGTTTGCTTCTGCATGCATGCGTGCGTGCGTGCGTGTGTGTGTATGTGTGTGTGTGTGTGCGTTTATTGCTTGCTCTCGGTTGTTCATGCTATTCGTTCGTTCTTTGATTTGTTCTTGATCTATTTCGATACTTACATCTTTGTTGCTGCTTGTTTCTTTCTGTCGCTACTTTGCAATACTTTATTGTCGCGGCTTTCTTTGTGTACGTGTGTCTTTTTGTTCCTGGATTTGTTATGATTTGTTCGTGCATAATGTCGTTCTTTCCCTATTGCTGTCTGTATTCACTGTATTCTTTGTTTCTTTCTTTCTGCAGTTCCTTCCGGCTTTCCTTACTTCCATTATGTGCGTACTTATACCGTTCTTCCTTTCTGGCTTGCCTTCCCCCTGCACGTCTGTCTAGCCAGACCCCCAAAACCGCAAAAAAATCCAACACCAAAAAAACAACACATACACGGAGCCACACAACAAAACAAACGCCTCCCCGTCTTCCGGACTACCAAGCTTAAAGGGACCTTAAAGATCAGAAACGACCCCTACCCCCCCCCCCCCCCCCCCCCCTCCCAAACCCAACACATAACAAGAAGCTGAGGCAAAGGCTGCACCTTCTTTCTTCTTCTCGACCTGGCTCTTGGCGATGTCCAGCGGCGTTTTGCCATTCTTGTCGGTCAGATCCTTCCAAGAAATACCCTGCTCCTTCGCGAAGGCAACCAATGCTGCAAGACATCCGGAGGATCCGCAGTAGGCTGCTTCGTGAAAGCAGTTCGCTTCGAACTGATTGAACACCCGCAAAGGCTCTGCCAAGATTAGCCATTTCTTCGCTGCTGTCCGGTCACTGAACTTGGACAGCAATAGTTTGCAGCACTCGCAGAAATCATTGCGAATACAATGCACCAACACGTTGCAGCCGGGCAGCCTGCAAATGTAGCGGACGGACCTTATGTCAGACAAATCCTCTGACTGCAGGTACCATTGATAAGCCCAGTCTTGAAACTGTGGGTTGCGGATTGCTTCTTCAAGCTCGTCAGGCTTGTCTTCGTCGAGAAAATCTACGAGGCACTGCCTTGCAAGTTCTCGAAGTTCATCCAGATTCTGCATGAAGTATGTGCTCACAGCCTCGGACTTGCGCCGTCCGCTGTGATTCGTCGAATCTCCGAGGGACTCCACGATCACATGCCAAAGTGGCATTCTGGCATGCATGGCAGCACTGAGACGCAGTTGAACCTTGTGAAGTTCGGAGACAGACAGGACACCGGTGTTTAAGGATTGCCAACTCTGTAGTGCATGAATCGCGTCTTCTTCACGTAGCTGTCGGAGGCGCATTATTCCAAATAGCGCGGCATCACCCGTGTTGCTTGGTTTAGGCTGCTGAACCGGGAGTGTCACCTGCAGTGCAGACTGTCCGGAAATATTACCAAGAAACAAAACTGACAACCTTCCTCCCTGTACCGGTAATGTCAAGGTGCTCCAAGCTGTCTCGTTGTCGCCATGACGCATTCCTGTCGCGCGACGTCTCTTGCTGCGCCTTCCCCCAAGAGGTCATGAAATATGCTGGTAAGGCTAGACCTTGTGCTTGCGACATCGTCGTCAGCCATCGTGGAAGCAAGAGTCGCGTGGATGCTAACGTCCAGGTCTTTCTCTGCGAGCCGTCAGTCATGGATGTGCGCTAGACGGGTGAAACGCATCATGGCAGCATGCAAGTCAGCACGACAGGTCTTAGGAAACAGCTGGGCAAAACTCCTTCGGCTAAGCACTCGACTGCTGGATGCGCGGGCCAAGCGCAATGCCTCCGGAAAATCAGCAGGTCTTTCTCGGGAAACCCGCGCGCATCCAGAAAGAGCACATGCTTCAGTAGATTGATCTGGAACAGGTCGGGAGCGATGCTGCAACTAGCAAACGTACGATGACAGGAGAGATACGCGAGTTCTAGAAGCACCAGCTTGTGCGAGAAACTTTGGGTTCTCGATCATCAGTCATGATGCTTGACAGCAGATAGCAATTCGAAAACATGCAGGAAGCCTTGACTCAATGTATTCCAGACTCCAGACAGGACTCCAAGGTGCGACGCTCTTCGGCTCAACATCCTTCTGAGAACGGCACTCACATCACAAGGCAGACGACCTGCTTTGCACCAAAAGCCTCGGCGTGAGTTTCGGTAGATGTCCGAATGCTGCTTTGGATCGGCCGCGACTTGAGAGCTTCAGAGAAGAACCGACCCTGTAACCAGATCTCTTGGACTGTAAATAATCTAGAATACTTACAAGCACCTCTCCATACTGGGATCCTTATTTTGGGGACTTCTCGTAGCGTTCTGGTCATATAGAGAGCCCTGGTTTAATCAGTCACAACAACAAATAACCTTTGAACATGTGGATTTGCGCTGAGGCCCCTGCTCCGAATGGCTTGAAGGGACCTTTGCGCATTTGCAATTCTGTGCCCAGACTACCTTGTCTTGAAGGCTTAAAGGATAAGCTGAGGTAGTAAGTACGACATAGGGAGCCTGTATCAGGACTGTGTGTCTTTCGGGTTTGCTTAAGTTATGAAAGGAGTCAGTGTGGAAGACTATGACTACCTTGACTGGGCTACAAGAAGTAGCTACAATAACATTTCTTCTAACCCCGGAGTCCCGGAGCCTTCAAAACTTTGCGTGACAAGCCCGGAAGGGAATTGACCCGCGCTGCCAGCGGTGCCTACAGGCGACTACACTCAACACTACTCGCGCAGTGCACTTCCCAAAGTCCTAAAACCCAACCATATAGACATTCTACTATTTGCTTAAGAACCCCAAAAAACAAAAAAAATATTCCTTATGGGGGTAATATAGGGATTATTACTTTTTATTTTTGGGGGGTTCTTAGGCAAATAGTAGCATTATTAGCGCTCAACCTCCAACCAATCCCTCCACCCTAAACCCGACAGTCTGCAACGGATGGCTCTGAGTTCGCGGCTGCCCTCCAACTGGGAAGCCTTCAAAGCGCAGTACCCTGACGAAAAGTGTCGTCCTTGTCAAGGGCAGGGTATCCAGGCTTTGGGAGTTCGGGTTTCGAATTATGCACTTCTTAGATTCTACGTCGTCTTAGATGGTGTGCATGTGTCTGTGGGGGTACAAGGGTTTGGGACTTTAGGATTTGCAGTTTGTAGGTTCCGGGTTGTTAGGTATCTTCAAGACTAAAGGCGAGTAACAGATACCTCTGCGCTTCAGCCGACCATAAACCGTAAACTTTAAAAATCGGGGCAAGCAAGCCCTGCTTGAAGTTGATCTACAAATCAAGGATGCTTATCACGAGGACCCCACCTTACACGCAGCCGCCACCGCCACCGCCACCGCCACCACCGCCAGCACCAGCACCAGGCCCACAATCACCACCAACGGCACCGGCACGGCACCGGCACCGACCCCGACCCAGACATCCGCGGAGAACGACACCCCCCCCCCCACCCGAGCCCTCCCCAAACCTCCCGGACCCCCCCCATTCCCTTCTCGTCATCAAAGCCACCCAAACCCTGACCCCGCTCCGAAGGGTCACTGACACCAGACTATTCAAGCCAAAACTTTTGGTCGGCGGGGTGGGGCTTACTATTCGGGCCGCAACTTGAAGGGTTTACGGCATAATAGGCATACAAGGTTCAGCTCAGACACCTCAACGGAAGCGCCAGACTCGCAAGAATCCCCTAAGCTAAGCTGACTCCCAAATCGCGCAGGCCTGGACGCGCAAAGCCAGTGAGCCCGGCATTTCTCCACTCCATAGGAAACTTGAATTCAAAGACCATGTCAGATTTAGGGATTTAGGCTGAAAGAGCCCGTGGATCAATTTACTCAAGCAACAGAGGGTCTCTATATTGAACCAAAGCGATCCTAGGTGGCGTTTGCGGACCCCCTAACGGTTGAATATGCATTCTATTGATCTCCTGCAAGGAGTTTGGAACCTAAAAGCCCTAAAGCCGACCAGGTTCTGAACTACTGTGTACTTGCGCTGAGCGATGAAGGATCTCAGGTTTGGAAACTGTGGAGTTTCTGGTAGGCTTTCAATCTAGACAGTCTAGTGTTTGTGTTGAGAGTGTAGGGCTTGGGGTGTTTATGCTTAGGCTCAGGGCTTAGGGTGGAGAGTCTGGCGGCATGATCAGGTCTAAACGAAGGCCTTTGGGAATACACCTTCCCAGAGGGAGGTCATAACCAAAAACAGTGGGGCCGGTCGTGGGCTATGCATTCCAAGTGGCCACTGTCCAAGGAGAGTCACGTAGACGGTCCCGCTGACCTCGTAGAGCGAGTCTCCAAGAGCCTGTTCGGCAGGCCAGCGTTCGCAGCACCAGATTGGGGGTCCCACAAGTTTGGAGCTTAATCTCAAGGGCTTCCGCACATCTTGTACTTCACAGTTATCTGAAACTGTCAGATGTTTAGCAACCTTCCCTATAGGCTCGCAGCCGTGTGCTTTGCAGCGTTCCGCTGTGTTCGAGGGCATGTTTGTTGCATAGTGCCGAAGTCCAGCAACGCTCGAAGCAATGGTCGATCTAACCCGTAAACCCTCAATCGTAAATGCTAAACTCTGAAGTTTGAATAAACCGTAGATCCGAATGATGTTGAGGCAGGGGCCAGAGCGGGGCATCAACATCAAACGAGCTGATCGGTATGCCTGGCCGCGAATACAGTAAGTATAGATTTGTCTCTCACATGTGGCTTCGTAAGCAGCGCTTCCGACAAAAAGAGCCGAGTTCGTCGGTTTCAAAGCCTTGCAGTGTCACTTGCTTACCCAGCTGGACTGAAAGCCATTGTGTGCGGGACAGCTAGAAACTATGAAGAGGGAAACCCTTCGCAATACTCCTTAAGCTCCAGGGAGTTTAAAGGCTCATAGCCTCTAATGTAACTCCTCTTCTTTGTTGACCATGTTTATTTTTGGGTAGGATTCCTACACTTAATCATTCAGGCAGAAGCAAAGCAACCACCAGAAGGAGCTACAACTGAGACGAAACCATCCTCATGTCAAAACTACCCTCACTCTCTCTTCCTGGGAAGTCAGTTCCCTAAGTACTGGTTACTTTAAACCCTCCGATAATCACAGACCCAGTGCTGGGCTCTATACGGGCTGTCATGATATAGGGGCGTTCATAATTGGAATAGGGTTTTGTGGCCCATTATACCATACCCATAACAAGGAACCCCCACAATAGTATTGGTAATTATTTAGGCCCCTGTACAAGGGAATAACCGAAACAACCCTGCTTCCAGAGCCCCTTCAGGCAAGCCCCGAGGGCAGCGCACGATGAGAGCCCCTCATGTCCGAAGAAGGAGAGGTGGTGTATCTGTCCTCTGGGCTCAATCTTGGTTCTTGTTTATAAGGAATCTGATTTGGTTTACCGTAGTAGGGATCTGCAGTAAATCATCGGGTTTCCGTTCACATTTGATTGTGGGAGCTTGTATTAAAATGTTTGACAAGAGCCCAGTAACAGGTGCCTTAACAACCAGCGCGGTAGACTACACTATGTCTAAGTTGCGAGTATCAGGGCAACTATTATTGGGACCTCTAATAATTCTATTATTATGGGGGCTTGGGTTCTTGGCTTTGCGGGCTTGGTATCGCCAGATAGAGCAGATCTGCAATGAAACCCCTCGAGCCCGAAGCTTTCAACCTAGAATCGTTCATCTTTAACCCGAAACTTGAAAACCTGGGAAGCAAGCTCACCCGAAGACGACGAGGCACTTGAGCAATACAACCTTCGCCACAACCTTGACTCCGTAGCAAGACCGTCGCAGTTGAACCTCTTAAATCATTAGCCCGAGCCTATCGAGCCTTTCTTGAACCCTTACTTCTGCCAGTGCAGCTACTGAGAAGGCAAAGCGACGACCCCCATACTACCACGACAATACCGACAACAACCACGACGACGACGACGAGTACTTTTGTTATTTGTACTGTTACTACTAATGGTTACAACAAATCAACTGCTGCTGCTGCTGCTTCTACCTCTGCTTTCACTTCTTCTTCTACTGCTACTACGACGACAATTGCTACTGCATTGTACTGACTAGACTTCTGCCAGAGCGACCGGTCGTGCTGCCAACTGTGCGTTTCTTTGCTGTTGACATTTCGTCCTTCGCAGTGTCGCTGCAGCGCCTTGCATAGCCAGCGCGCCTGCAGACGGTGTCGCTAATAAACGAGACTTAACTAAACCTAAACCTAACCAAAAAAACACAAACCGGCTAAACCCCAGTGGATGCAGACAGCTGTGCAGGCATGGGGTTCGGGACACTCTACGCCCAAAGTGCGCAACCCGGACGTTCGTCACAGATTCTAAGGCTGAACACCACAACCTGAGGAAGCTGAGAT